GATATGTAAATCCAGTAATGCTAGGGCCTAGTTAAGTATGCAAATAAGCTCCTTTGACCCTATAAAATAAACCTGCTGCGTTGCTTGGGGCTTGCTGCCTCTCCATCAGAAAGATGGCACCCACCTAGCGCTCAGCTTGATGAATCTATTTCTGCCTCCTGGTCCCTTTCTTTCTTAATCCCCAGCTCCTCCACTCAGGAACCTGTCGTTTTCCGTGATGGACATGGAAAACAGAGAAAGAGTCCCCCGCATCTGATCACCTCTGTGAGCAGATGCAGCGAGGGAGGACTTCTGTGATAGAACTACATCCTCATGCTTTCCTACCCACCTCTGTTCTTGAAAGAATTTGTAGCCCCCTCGCCCATGCCTGATGGGCAAGGGGAAATCTTGTTTCATCACTAAAATAGACTGGAAAGGGTGTTGCTGAGTTGGAAGTTTCCCAAAATGAGAAAGAGAGGTGCAACATTGACAGTCTGGCTTCAGGGCAGGATAGAGGAAACTGTGGACCAAGATTAGTTCCTTGAACTGTCCCTCGGTCAAGTCCCACTTCCTGCTGGCTTCCTGCTGCCTCAGGCTCATCTTCTCCTATCTTCACGGGTCAGAGGTGGCAAGCTTGTTTGGGACTCTGGGGCACTTCAGCTAGTGAGGAAAGGGGCATTCATGATGATTGCCCCGTAAGGGGTTCCTTTCTGGGACTTGAAATCAAATCTTCATTCATTCCATTTATAAAGGTGGCTTGTCCCTTCCTGTTTCCCACATGATTCAGGGGTTGGGAAGAGGATTATAAGAGTGACACCTCCTACATAAAAGAAAGAAACACTGCAATGCCTTTCCCTGAACCTCCTTCTCTCCTCATGTATGAACATTACCTGGATGACTGCTTTTCCACCTGTAGTACCTTATTAGGGAGGTGTGTATTAGAGAGATATAATAGTCCATAGGCAGTCATGGAAAAAGAATACTGTGTGTCTTTTTCTTGAACCATGTAAGCAACTTGCAGTGACCCCATGTCAGTCATGGGTGGGAGGTAACCTTATTGATTAGGCTGATACTGTTTTCATTTTCTCACCCTCAGGGGTAAATAAGGTAGTCCCCAATGAGGTTGCTTCACTGATCAGAATAAGGGAAATGCAGTTCATAGGGAAAGATTGGGTAGTTTCAAGGAAGACTATGATACTCCGGAGTTAAAAACCTAATTTTAGGGCTGCAAACCAAGAGTTCTTACCTGCTACAATTATAACTATGGCTACTACTCATTCAGTAATCTGAAATCTTTGCTTGAATTTGCCTTCATGTAGGAAAAAATAAAAACCTCAAATGTTTTGAATTACTCTAGGCTGGAAATTCCTGATTTTCCATGTGTTTCCAGTAAGGTTTGATTTTGAGATGATTTCCGGAAAATAAAGGAAAAAAGCAGAACTGGGGTAACTCATAAAAGCAAGTAATATGCACATAATTGCGTGAGAAAAGCTAAAACAACATTTCACAGCTGGTCAGCATAAAACTGACTAGTCGATTTTGCTTTACCAAGAGCACCTGTATGTCTTAAATAATACACATGTACATTATTCATTCAAAGACTTTTAGACAGTATGAAATGCCTGAGTATAAGAAAAATGAAAATGTAGCTTTTCCAAAACTTTCTTTTATTAGGTAAAACTGGTTCCGAAGCATATGTTATCCATCACCACAGATTGACTGCTCCTGAACAGACAGCAGGTAAAATGTTCTGAGTTTTATCAGGAATGCAGGAATGGTCCCTGGAAAAATAAAATCTCCACACTACAGGTCCCAAGAAAACATTGTTTGCAAGGGGCAGGGTAGATTTGGTAAAATCCTTTTTCATATTATCTCAGTTTTGATCAGAACTTTCTACCTATCAGTCAGTGCAGCCTCGAGGGCAAACTGAGTTTGGATGAGTGTGTGTGTGAGCACATCCATACTGACGTGCCTGGTGTGTCTAATGAGTGTCAAGATCAAGATGCATGTTAGGCTCAGCCAGTGTGGCTCAGTGGTTGAGCATTGATCTATGAATCAGGGGGTGATGGTTTAATTCCCAGTCAGGGCATATGCCCAGGTTGTGGAGCATGCAGAAGACAGCCAATTAATGATTCTCTCTCATCATTGATGTTTCTATCTCCCCCTCTCTCTTCCTTCCTCTCTGAAATATATATATATATATATATATATATATATATCAAAGATGCATGTTAGACCACTGGGGAACAAAAGAGGAGACACGGATGGAGGTAAAAGGCTGGAAAAGAAGAGAAGGACTGTTCAGATATAGTTTCACTCTTTAAAACATCAGGATTCATATGAAAGCTAGCATAGTTCATCCATTTCCTTTTCATATTCCCAAAGTGCAACACTTGGTTTGGTTTGGTTTGGTTTTATAGTAAGAACCAAACATAAAATCTACCCTTAGTAGTGTTTGAAGTGTATAATATAGTGCTGTTAACTGCAGACGCGATGTTCTACAGATCTCGACAACTTATTCTTCTGGCAAAACTCAAAATTTATACTCATTGAACAACAACTCCTCCCTTTCCCTGCCCCTAGCCACTGGCAAGCATCATTCTGCTCTCTGCCTCTGTGACTTTGACTATTTTGTGTGTGATGACATGGTGAACCTGCAAGATGTTATAAGTGAAAAATAAGCCAGTCACAGAACAAATACTGCTTGATTGCATTTCTAGGAGGCCCCTAAAATAACCTGTGGTTTTGAGGAAAGTCTTATGAAAACTAGAATTTGCTAAGCTAAGTGACACTGGAGGAAACGGCTGGCCCAAGGTCTCTCGGGTGGCTTGCATGGATGGCCTCACGTAGTGGTGGAGTGCTTGATTCCCAGCTTCTACCATCCTCCCACTGAGGAAGATGATGTTAATGGAGCTGAAAATACTGCAAGGTCCAGGGTAGAGACGAAAAAAAATTCTCCTACATGGGAGGTAAGGAGCAGGTGTTGTTCAGAGGGGAATGCTTTATTGTCTGTTACTTCCTCACTCTTCCCATTAAAATCACAGATGCCGGAGAGGAAGGAAGTGATACTTTGGCAAGTGGAAATTCGAGAAAATACAGCATACAAATCCTATGACGTGAAGCTGTACTGGAAACACACGTCATGGAGAACCTGCAGGAGCCATTTTCTTGCTTCCTTCCCTCTCTACGTGTAGCTTCCGGCTCATATTCCAAGTATCTCTTGGTATAATTAACTCCATTTCTGGCACTGTGAGCTGCTGAGAACATGAATCATGGCTTATTCGTCTTTATACGCCTTCTGAGACCCTCATGGAGCACTTTGCAGCAGTCCTTCCATGGATATTTGTGGAACTGGGTAGATTTTAAGAGGTGTTGTAGACTGAGCACCAATCAAGGGAGTAAGGGACTTACGTTTTGAAGGAGCTGGTCACTCATGGGCCTTATAACCACTTCGGTCTCTACGCTCAGTTTCTCACTGGTCTGTGGAGGGAGTTGCCTTACATAACCTCCAAGATAACTTCCCACTGAAACAGTCTGCAGTGGGAAGTCTCTCTCTTCCTTTCGGGAAATGTAAAATTATGGATCAGGCTTGATCAGACACTCTGTCAACCCAGTGGGACTTCCTCATTAATTATGCACAAGTAAAACTGCTGCCCAGAATAATGAAATAATAGCCTAGCAATTGGTCTACTTGAACATGGTTGCTAATGTATTTTGTCGTTCTACTGTAAAAAATAAATAAATAACTGCAAGCTACTTTCATTCAGTGCAAATTACTTCCTTGGACTGAGAGGGCATGAATTCTTTCTGGAACAAAGCAGTTCATCCTCACCCACGAGGGTTATATTTTAAAAGTATCACCACCAACTGTACTTCGTAAAGTACCCAAATGAACAAAAAAATGAAGTTAAATCCAAGCATAAGTTATCTGAATATGTAAGAATTTCTCATTATATTTCTAAACTGGAAGAATACCATTCCTTATGGGTATATGGTTCTATAAATATTTAGTTCTTGATGTTCACCTTTGGAGTTTTATCTGCTTCTATCATTTTCTTCAATGTATTTCTAAACATTTAAATAATCTGCATGAGTAGATTATTTAATGTCATTATTAAATTAAATATAGAGCTAGGCATAAAATTCAGAGGCATGATTCATGTGAGAAATGTAGTGTTTTGGAAACAACGGGAAAACATCCACTAAGAAGAAAATTCAGTTAGAATTTCTTTACATGCTAAATAATCTCTTGTCTGCGAATGCAAATGATTGTCATTAATACATGTAAACCACTGTCATCTAAACTGCCAATCAAAATGATCCTTTGAGCAACAATGCTGAAATTGTTACAATGACTGAAATTGTTTTAGAGATGGCGCTAGTGCTTTCCACTGGAATTGGCAGGCGAGACATTGCTTTCTCTAGGCAAACCCACAACACGTGAAGGCTATTGGCGGCACAAAGAAGCCTGCTGAAACCTGGGTTTTCCTTCCAATACTTATCCTGAATATCTGATTCCTCAAAAATATTCAACCTGCAGCATTGGCCATGGGCACGTCACTGAGGGAGGAGCCACCGAGGGGTGGGGGGACTAAAAGACAATGTCCTTCAGCAATGGCCACTTCCTCCCAGTTCTGGAAGTATTTCAGAATCCTCTAGGGGTTGTTGGGTAAACCCCAACCCCAGCGATGGCTTCCATTATAAACGTGAACTGTCTCAGGACATGTTTCACTTCCCTGCCACCCAGATGCTCCAGAGGGTGCACCAGGCACAGGCCATGAACCACAGCTGGCACTTCCAGGATTCCATCCTGGGGCTCATTCCCACGCTGAGGACCTCCATCGGCCCAGGACCTCCTTGGTCCTCTCCGTGAAAACTGATCAGATCGCATACCCAGGATCCAGGAATACCACAGAGGTCTCTGCATCCCTGGACACTAAACACACATGGAAAGACAGAAATGTGCTAATCATGCCGGTTCCGTGTTTCACTGGTGCGTTCCCTTACTTGTGTGAAGACTAATGGGGGAGGAGAATGTTCCTGCCCCTACAGTAGACCTTCTGACAGGTACCAGGTAATGGCTGCAAAGTCACTGGGTTTTCTTTTTCTTCCTATTAGAGTGGACAACCAGAAGAGACAAAAAAGGGACAACTGAGGCACAGTGACAATCCCACTGACCCGCATCACCCTACCGCCCAGCCCAGGTCTTCTTTCTCTGCAGAAAGGAATTTCTGAGACGGACAGCAAGTCAGGGCCTAGGGCGATCACTGGTTGCTGTAGGAGAGATAAATACAAACAGCAGCATGGATCACTTTATTATTACTCCTTAGGCTGCCAGAAGAGAAGTGTGGGTACCACGATGTTAAAAATGAGCGCAATTCCCTTCAAGAGTTAACTCCTTCTGGCCAAAACCGGTTTGGCTCAGTGGATAGAGCATTGACCTGCAGACTGAAAGGTCCCAGGTTCAATTCCTGTCAAGGGCATGTATCTTGGTTGTGGGCACATCCCCAGTGGGGGTGTGTGTAAGAGGCAGCTGCTCGATGTTTCTCTCTCATCGATGTTTCTAACTATCCCTCCCTCTCGATTCCTCTCTGTGTAAAATCAATTATACATATATACATATATATATACATATACATATATACATATACATATATATATATATATATATATATATATATATATATATATATATATATATTTAAGAGTTAACTCCTTCTGGCCCAGCCTTCTTAGGGCAAAGCAAAGCAAAAGACATCTGGGATTAGGTGGCAGATTGTGGACACCGATGCAAAGCACGCTGGAGAAAGAGGGGAGCCCGCGGCTCGCACACAAAGGCGTGGAGTTCCCAGAGCCAGGGCGGCCCAGCTGGGGGCACAGCATAGCTCCGGGCGCAGCAGACGAGCCAGGAAGCGCCTGCGGCACCGGCTGCCCTGCCCCTCTGCTGGTGGCTGGGAGAAGTTAGTCACCCGGAGCCCTCACCCGGGGACCGGCCTGGGAATGGGGCTGGGTGGTGGGAGCAGGGGGAGAAATTCGGGATCTGGACGGCTGGGAGGAGGCGCGGGACCAGGGGGCGCACGGGATGCCGAAAGCCTTTTGCTGGTGGATTTGGAGTTGCACCGTTTAAGAGGCCGGCGTGCAAACGGGGGAAAAAACTTTCCGGCAGGAACTTCCTACCCAAGACAAGAAAAGCTGCAGAGAAGGAGGCAGGGAGAGACTCGAAACATCCCAGTAACTTTAAACACACACACACCCCAAACACCCCTTCAGGAGAGGAGGTAAGCCTAGGTTAGCCAACCCCAGCGCGTTGTGAAATAGCAGGCAAATCCGGAGCTGCTGTGGCTTTAAAGGAGGCCAAGGAGATCTTCTGTTTTCCTTACCGAAATACTTGCTCCCCCCGCCAACCCCCCTGCCCCCACCCTGTCCTCGCTCCCTCCTTTCACCTCGCCCGGTTCCTTCCTCCTTCCCAGTCTCCCTTTCCTCGATCACCCTCCCCCCTGCCCGCCCTCCCCCGTCTGATCGGGCGCGGGCCGGGGAGGGTGGGAGGGAGGGAGGGTGGGGGAAGCTCTCTCTCCCTTTAAGAGGCAGCTCGCAGTGACGAATTGTTGAAATTGCCATTGCAGGATGGCATGCCGCTATAAATGCATTGTTCCGCCGCCTCGCATCTTCACAGCGCGCGCCGCTCTCCGCGCCCGCAGCGGCCGACTGGGGATGACCGCGGCCCGGAGGACGCCGCGCCCGCCCGAGGGGACCCGGACGCGCTTCGCCGGCTCGCTGCAGGCGTTTTCATTTTAATTTTTTTTTTTCATGGCCTTTTCCTCTTGCTTTCCTCCTTTCCTCTCGGTGCCACTCGAGTCGAAGAGAGCCACCCAATAAGCAAGAAAAGTGGGCTCCGGAGCGTGGAGCCCCCGCTTGCCCGCGGGTCGGTCCGGGGCAGCTGCCCGGGGGGGCGGGCCGCCCGCCCGATGCACAGCCTGACTTTTCCTGGCTGCAATTTGGAGAGGATTGGGGTCTCCCCTCCGCCCCCCTTTTCTCATAGTTGCTGAATCTCCACCATCCGGCTGCTTTTCTCCCTTTTTTTTTAATTTTTTTTATTATTTTTTTTTCCTCTCCTTCTTGCCGGAGCACGAATCCCAACATTTGCCAAAGCAACAAAGAAAAGTTCGCACGCTGGCACGGCGGCAGCCCGGACGGACGGACGGACGGGCTGGCGCTACTGGGTCCCCCTCCTCCCAGGACACTTGACTCAACTTGCAAGCGTGCAAGCGTGCAAGCAGCGTGTGTGTGTGTGTGTGTGTGTGTGTGTGTGTGTGCAAACCCCCACCTCCCGCCCCGGCACCTTGCAGAGCGAATAACAGACACCCGTCGGGTCCCGCGCGCAGCCCCTCCCCGCGGGCCGCGCACTATGCTGCTCGGGTGGGCGTCCCTGCTGCTGTGCGCGCTCCGCCTGCCCCCGCCCGCCGCCGGCGCCGCCGCCGCACCTGCCCGGGCGCCCACCGCCCGGCCCCGGCCCCGGGCAGCAGCCGCCGCCGCCGCCGCGATCGCCCAGCCCCGCCGGCCGCTGCCGCGGGGGGAGGAGGAGGCGCCGGAGCGGGCAGAGCCTCCGGGCCCCCCGGAACCCCCGCCTGGCAGCAGCCGCGGGCTGGTGCACAACATCGACCAGATCTACTCGGGCGGCGGCAAGGTGGGCTACCTGGTGTACGCGGGCGGCCGCAGGTTCCTGCTGGACCTGGAGCGGGATGCATCGCTGGGCGCCCCCGGCTTGGCGCCCCCGGGAGGCGCCACCAGCGGGCACCGCCGGGGCCGCTGCTTGTACCGGGGCACGGTGGACGGCAGCCCCCGCTCCCTGGCCGTCTTCGACCTGTGCGGCGGCCTGGACGGCTTCTTCGCCGTCAAGCACGCGCGCTACACCCTAAAGCCGCTGTGGCTTCGGCCCCGGGCCGAGGAGGAGGAGGCGGAGGAGGCTGGGCGCGCGTACGGAGATGGGTCCACGCGGGTCCCGCACGTCTACACCCGCGACGGCTTCAGCTTCGAGGCCCTGCGGCCGCGCGCGAGCTGCGAGACCCCCGCGGCCCCGGCGGGACCCCGCGAGCGCCCCTCGCGGCGCAGCGGCGGCAGCGCAGACGGACGCTGGACTCTGGCCCCGCGGCTCCTGGATGACAGGTCGGCCCCGCCGCCCCCGCCGCCCCCGCCGCCGTCGGATGGGGACCAGGGACCGCAGACCTGGTGGCGGCGGCGGCGCCGCTCCATCTCGCGGGCCCGCCAGGTGGAGCTGCTGCTGGTGGCCGACGTGTCCATGGCGCGGCTGTACGGCCGGGGCCTGCAGCACTACCTGCTGACCTTGGCCTCCATCGCCAACCGGCTGTACAGCCACGCCAGCATCGAGAACCACGTCCGCCTGGCCGTGGTGAAGGTGGTGGTGCTGGGCGACAGGGACAAGAGCCTGGAGGTGAGCAAGAACGCGGCCACCACGCTCAAGAACTTCTGCAAGTGGCAGCACCAGCACAACCAGCTGGGGGACGACCACGAGGAGCACTACGATGCCGCCATCCTCTTCACGCGCCAGGTAGGTCCAGCCGGGTAGAGGATAGACGGAGCTGGGACAGCCATCCTATACTGGTTGCTGACATCTTCCGAAAACTCTGGATATATTTACCTGCTTCTTGCAGGATACCCACTCTGCCTCTGTATTCAGGGTAACCCCTGCAGCAACCCCCAGAACTGCTTAGACAATCAATCAATCAATCAATCAATCAATCATCAGGCAGGATGTCTCTAGTCCAAGATATGGTGTCATCGATGCATACATAGGGTAAGAAGGGACTAGAATGCTTGGGGAAATGAAGTTAGCTAAGTTGGAAAGAGGAGAAGCAAGTTTGCCTTGGAAATCAGGGAAAATAGAACGTTGTCCAACTTAATGGAAGGGGCTTGATGGCCCATCCACGGTAGTGCTTTTTATCCATCACCTTCCTTGGTGGTGTTCCTACATTCGTCCTTAAGCCTCTTCCATCTCCAGCGGAGGGAAGAGTTTCCGAAGGAAGGACTCTGTATTCAGTCTGGTTTCCGGCGGAGGTTCTTGCATGTCCACCCAGTTGGAATCTCATTCCTGGGAAGGAAGGAATGCAGGAGGGTGAGGAGGATGTAGAAACCCAATCTTGTGAGGTTCCTTGGTTAGAAACCCAATCTTGTGAGGTTCCTTGGCAACGCCTTTGGCTTGGATGCAGCGCTGCCTACTCAGTGAAAGGTCAAGTCCAGCTTCCATTTTTGGGTTTTGGGATGAATGTTTCTGAGGCCCCTAGTGTGGAAAGATCTGGGCCAAGAGTTAAGACACGGGGAAGAATGTTCTTAACTCTTGGAAGAATGTTCTCTCAGGATTTCATCTTTTAAGGAAGACAGAATAGGAAAGGCATTGACCTTTATAGGCCAGAGGTTCTGGGGAGAACACAATCTCTATTTGCACCATCATGAGACACCATGTGAGTGTGACATTCAGACACAAACGTCCGGGCTGGTTGTGGGGCTGGCTTGCTCAGCTCCGAGCCTCAATTTTCACAACTCTTCTCCAACTGGTCGTTTTAAGTTGTGCCTCTCAGATGTCTGGTAAAAAGCAACTTTTAAAGCTCCTTCTTTAAATGTTTGAGATCCACCTGGTATCGATGAGGATTAGCAACTTTGAAAGAGTATGCAAAATCTTGGGTGGAAATGGAGCAGCCAGAGCTAGAATAGGAAATGCAATGGTGGCTTGCAGGAGGTTTTAGAATCATGGAGCTCCACTAGCAAACCTACCCCCCCCCCCTTTTTTTTTTTTTTACTAAGGTGCCTCTGGCATGAAGAAAATGTGTTGATACATTTGGAGTGGAGGAACCCTTGTAGTTTATGGGGTAGACATATGATACATGTAAACCACAAGTAAACGAAGACGGCAGAGGGCAGCAGCTTAGGGAGAATGCGGCAGAACACAGTGCTATGCCCCATGGAAAATCTGTCACCTCATGAACTGATCTCCTGGATACATCCTTTCATTTCTCCACACAACATTCACCTTTGAAACGGAAGAACATTCATTTTGCAGCCTTCAGTGTGAAGTTCTCCTGTAAAACTATTTCTTTCTTCTTTGGTTTCCAAGTTCTTTTTTTTTTTTTTTTTTTTTTTTTTTTTTTTTTTAGCAACTTTCCATGTCTGGATTTCTTGCTTTGCTACATCACCAAAGGCTGCCAAGTAGGAGGCTCCAGAGAGTTTATGGAAGGAAGTTCTGTAAAGACAAAGGGAAAAATACTCGTGTAGGCAAACTGCTCCAAAGAGTAGGTCATTTGAATGCTTCCCTTTCCTTTGGAAATGCAAACGCACATTCCATAATTTTTTAAAATAAATAAAAATGAATAGGAGACCGCTCCTTCCTACCTCCTGCCCCGCAGTTTTCCTAATTGCTTCCCTGAAAAAGGGAAAACTGGTCAGTGATTCTAAAGGATGTCTGCTGCTTTTTCTGGATTTGTTTTTAGTGTGGGGAGCTACCATTTCCTATTTTCCCAAGCTCTGAAACCTACCGGTATATTTTAAATAGATGAACAGTCTATCTTATTGTGAATGAGTATCTTAATAACATTTTTTTCCTATTTGGTCCTCGACGGCCTCCTCACCAAGCAGAATCACACTTTTAGTAAAGCGGTTGCCACTCACTTTGGCGCTGGCCTTCTGGTATATGCATCAAACTGGATGAGAACCAAGTATCTGAAAAGCATGTGTGTTATGCATACATGCACCTCATTTAAAAGAGTGCTCTTCATTAAAGAGCTGAGAAAAATACTCAGAGACCCTTATGCAGCATGCACTTGAGACTACTTCAGAAATGCAAAATTAATCTCCACCTAATACTTCAGAATGTGGAAAACACATTCTGGGCTAGAGGAGAAATGATCTGAGCTCTCCTCTATCCCAGGGAAATCAGATCTCTTCAGACCTAGCAAAAAAAAAAGTGCTCGCAGCTCTTTCTTTTCAATGGGAACTACCCAGAGCTGGCACCAGGATCCTACTTTTACAACTCTGTTTTGATGTCATAAACCCGTTGCTTAGCAGCCAGATGCCAAGCCATGAAATCCATGTTTTGATGGGCTCAGAGCTCCGTTCAAATTTTGCGTCCAGCTGTCTTCTGCTAAATTACTTGTTTTTCAGGCATGAAGCAACTGTGTGAGGATGTGTTTTCCACCGCTGTTTACTAGCCGGGGCCACCTTGAGCGTTGTGTCCGGGAGTCAGCAGAATAGTGCTAGTCATTCATTTATCACACAGACACGCTTCGTTGTCAGGACTGTCCCCCAGCACTCAGTACTGTACTAATTAGAGAAACTTTAGCACCAGTCAGCTTTCTGGCACGAGTCCTTTTTCATTTTGGAATGGCACTTCTGCTGGAATTCACACCACTGGTGCCATCAAACAGTCGAAACCCAATCCCCCCAGGATTTAATTGTACTTTCCAGAGTTCTTTCCTTCTTCTTAGCTTCTTCCTTTATTGTAGTTTATTTAAAGATAAGCTCTTAAGCCCATTTTGGAGACCATGCACTCTTCTTGAGAAGCAAAACTCCTGCCTGCTTGATAAGAAAATTGGCAGGGGACAACACCAATGACAGCTTCACTCATCCCTGGATGGAAAGCATGGGATTGTAACCGAACCAGCTAGGAGGCTATGCAATAGAAAAGGTTCATCTGCTTTCACTATGACTTATCAGTGAGGTAGTTCATAGGCAATTGTCTCTCAGCTAACACCTCTCTGTATGTTGTGTTTTATAATGCTGAGGTAGGG